AGTATAGGTTCTACAAAAACATAAATAATATATGTCCAGATTTATACTTGCTAGAAAAGGACCAGAAAGAAATGTGTTTTTTACCTTGCTGGAGTATGGTCCAGGGATGAGCAGCTTCAATGCTTGTCGTTTCAACTCTATCAGCCGAGCGTTGCAGTTCTCACACCATATCACTCTCTCACTGCCAGGGGAGCTTCCACTGCCGGAGGCTGGTGATCCTGTCCCAAAACCCGGAGATCCACCAAGAGAGCCCGGGGATCCTGTGCCAATTCCCGGAGAGATGGTTCCCGGGGATCCAGAGAAGGATCCTGGTGATGAGATTCCTGAGCCTGGAGACGGGGTGCCACTGGAGCTGGGCATGGAGCCAGCACCTTCTGGGGTGGGCCGCATACTTGAGCGGGTGTTTTCCTCATAGCCTTTTCGATACCATGTATCTGGGAAAAAGGAGCTCGATTTTGTTGGGGATGTGTCAGGAATCTATGAAAAATACAGAGAGGTTTATGCCTTTTCCCGATCAGGGAGGGCCCAACAAACCATAACAACGTGTGAATATATGCATAGATGAGTCTGCCCACAGAACCGGTTGAATGGGAGTGAGGAGAAAATCTTGAGAGCGAGGAAACAGAACATAGGACTGTTTCAAGCAATTACCATTTTACCTCAAACTGAAAATAAGGATGTGCATTTATATTTGTTTTAAACAGGTTTGAGTCATATCGGAAATTCCTAAGAAAGTCAGTCATAAGTGATTCTAAGAAAAACATATTCACCTAATCTAAGCTTGATACACATTCCAACAACTGACGCCATTTAATTTGAACGTAGATGTTTCTTAAACAAAATATAAAGGCTATATATCCAGCCTACAATCAATGTAGTTAATGGAATACCAGTCATCTACACCAAAATGGTATGTGTATATGTATATATATATATAAATGGAGAGAGAGAGAGAGAGACAGAAAGAGAGAGAGAGAGAGAGAGAGAGAGAGTGAAATCAATTGTGGGAATTAAAAATGAATGCATTCATCCCCCCCAAAACATTCCAAATATCCACCATCAACATCACAGCAGTCAGCTGAACACAAGTGTAGAGGTGTGCGGTTTTGTTCCACTCAGCCACATGCTACATCAAATGAGCCGCATAGAGTTGCGAATTTGATCTTTTGCGGCTGGTTGAATCTATTCAGAGTACAGACTCTGATGTGATGGCGGCTGGTGAGGCTGAGCACCTCTGTGATCCCTCACTACTGCCATAATAAAGCGTTTCTGTGAAGGATGATAGATGAGAATGTCTAGTCATATCCAAGTGAAGAGGTGGGTATAATGTGACCAAACCCTGAGTGATAAATTAAGGCTAATGAGGCTGTTGGTGGAAGCCAGAGACGCAGGTGTGACTGTATAGTACCTGATTTGCCTCAGTTTGTGATAATTAAGTGATGCACAGGATCTGTCAGTGAAAAATGCACGCCATTGTTGTGTCACCATGAGCAGTGAAGTGTGAAGTGTGATATTCACAAAGCAGTCAATCAACAACATGGACACAAATCTAATGAGACCTGTCACTGGAGTCGTATTTATGGCATCCTGAAAATGGAAGGAAACTATGGTCAACTATGACAATAGGTGGATGGTGTGATGAAATGCATGCGGTATTGAATGCATGATAAGTTTTTATGTTTTCCAGGCTCATTAACAGAGGAGAATCAACTCCTCTGCTGCTGAAATGAGAAACCTACCCCGTATTTTCTGCTCCGGCTGCCCCTCTCCTTAGTCCCCGACAGTGAAGTCATGTTGGAGGTGAGGGGGGGGTGGGAGGGGGGGAGGAGGAGAAAGAGACTCTGCTGCCGCTTCACATTCAAAAAAGAAACCGCTGGATCGATTTCAATTAACTACGTGCCCCTGCAGTTTGCTCTTCTAAGGCTTGAGGTTCAACCCCACGCCGCTCTCAGGTACACGTGGAAATCGCTTACATCCTCGTTCTGCTGCCAAGAAATCCCCAGATGGTTTCTATATTCGCCTCTATTTTTCCACGGTTTGTTGCACCAAAATGAAAAGAGAAAAAGCCCCTCGGACCACTTATAGAAGCCCAATATTTCACACAGTCTTGCCGACCGCTCCCTGTCAGCGAGTCCTGCTGTGCGCTTTGCGGCGGCTCTCAGATGCGCAGCGCCGGAGCGCGTCTCTCCATCAGAGCTCAGGTGAATCCACCGCCCCACGGGGGGAAGCCGGCCAATCTCAGAGAGACAGGCGCCCCGCCGGTGCAGAGCAGAGAGACGGGGCTCAGCTCTTGCTGTCGGAGACTTTGAATGGTTGCGCGTGGAACCCTCCTGTTGACTTCCGAGGCTCTGCACTCTGCTGAGGCCAGCAGTGGAGTGAGGGGAGCGAGGCGAGACGCACATCTGGATGAGGGCGGGGCCAACCTGCCCCTAGTCAACCTCAGGGCCAATGCATATCCAGAGACTCCTGCTGACTGGCAGGCAGGATGCTTTCAGATAGGGAGGGAAACATGAACGCGGTTTTAGATAGATCCTGAACTGAGATAAAGTCTGAAGCTGGAAGATAAGGGAATGGTGAGAGATCTTTCTTTGTATGGATACAAATCAACCGCCTCATTGGTTTATTTTCAATTAACTGCAGCCCTAGAATTTAAAACAGTAGGTTAATCTGTTTGATGCCAAGAAAGCTTTGAGTCAAGATTTCACTTAGAATGTTAATGGTTTTATAGGAAGAAAAGTCCCAAGAGTTTGACAGACCCAATGTTCCCCTACATTTCTTTAAGAACAAGTTTGGGTGCAGGCACAAATTGGAGCCATTACCTGAGAATGTCTGAATTGAATTGGATTATTTATTTTAATTAGATACTTCAAAGGTTGGACTGAGTTGAAAGAGCAAAAAGTTGCATTGGAGGTTGGATGACTCAACACTGTACTAAAAACGGTCTCTTCTTGTAAAGAAAGGTCAGAGCTTTTGCAGTCACCTTTTTCTTTTTCTTTACCAACACACCCTTTTGGACAGCTTTCCAAAAGGCTCTGCTGCATGACCTTTCTGAAGAAACGTTTGAATCAAATGAACAAAAGCTGCAAGAATAATGTAAGAATACAGTTTAATGATCATATACATTAGGGGATGTGGATATATTTGCTCATGGATTGATTACATTGGAAGAGAACCCCCTGCAGCAAGCCACTCAGCAGAGGATCTGAGTCCTTTAAAGCTCACAGAGAGTGGTTACACAGTGCTCTCTGCTGTTTGCATCTGGGTATTACTGAGGGGGACACCCAAGGCCTGAGTTTAGATCATAACAGAAACAGGTTTTTGGAGCACTTTGAAATAATCATGTTGGACTGCCAGCTAACACAAAGCTGTTCTGTGGCAGTGAAAGGCACTATTGAACGGCCATTACATCAAATGAACGGAACTGAACGTGTGTTTTTGTGAAAACACACGTATTTTAAAAGATATATTGTTGTCATACAATTAGTAGGGTATTTTTATGGTTTTGTAAAATAACAAACGTATGATTTTTTTTATCTTGCTTTTAGATTGTGCATCAGTGGAATCTGTAAATGTCCCCTACATATAGTGGACATGTGGCCACAAGAACTTTTATGTTCTGTTGAAATATTTAAGCCATCTATAGAATAAAAAAATGCAAAAATGGCTCTGGGCGTTGGTTGTGAGGCCACCACCGCGCCACGAAACATTTTTGAAAAAATACACTCCAGACCACCAGGCGGAGGTGTACTTTAAAACAGCTTCAACAAACCGCGAATGAAAACAAGAAAAGTCATGAGTTCACACCAGTTTGTACGACGGGTGATTTTCTCTATCTTTTTGTGAGACGTCGGTTGTTTTGAGCATTTGGAGTCGGTCCGGACCAACAGAACCGGGAAGCAGCGAGCAGCAACGGCCACAACGATGACCGCCGTTTGCGCTGAAGCTGGTAGCTAACTGTAAACAACCTCTGGGCTTTAAAGTGAATGGACGGCGATAGCTAGGCTGTTTAACTGCTTTTCCACTGGCAAAAATCTCAAAAACGTTTCCCTTTGGATCTGCGACACGGGGAGCTAGCTGTGGCTCTGGGCTGTCAGGCTGAAGCTACCGCTAGCCGTGTTGAACTCTTTATCAGTAGCTGACACTTTGCTTCCTGGAGGAACCAATGCCACTGGACGGTGTGTGGGTGTACATGATATTTTGGTCTCACAAGTAAATGTCCGTGTTGGGAGTAGGGTGCAAATAACGTCACGCTTTCAGGTCGTTTGTTGTTACCTTCCTTGTCAAGCTGTGGTACATGCTGACGTGCACTTGGTATGGCATCTCGTGTTTCTCTGTCACTGAGCGGAGAAAGCTTGCTCAAGCTAGGTGGGCTCGTGCATTTCTTTTGTTGTGCATGCAAATTTAAACAAGCACAGCAAACATTTGTAACGAAAAAAGGCGTAGACTTTACCTTATCAGCGCCAGAACTTCATTAGGGGCAAGTGTGGCCTACCAAGCTGGCCTCGAATGTATATATGTGTATTTATATATCTATAAACGTATTGCTAGAGCTGACATGTCGCGTACCCGTTTATCAACGCCCACCCATTTTACTGTAAATTCAAGTTCCCCAGGTGATATCAATTAATCCTAATTAAAGCCATATCTCAATACAGGTATATCTGTGAAACACCCTGCAAGGGAATGAATGTAAGGGCAATCTTGCCTCTGACAGGACAACATCAAGCCACACGATAATAATGAAAGGTAACTACACATGTGGTCATATTTACTCTAATTTCAAGGAATTTTGAAAGACTTTGATCATTTCTGGTTTATAAATTTGTGACTGGGATCCGTTTCTTAATTTTTTTATCATAGGAAAGCATCGGAAAAAGAGCAACAGGAAACCTAAAAAGAAACCTACAGAGGATGTCATTGCAGACTTTGACTCGCCTTCAGCTGCTGAGGAATCCAATGTGGTGACAAGCAGTGTTTTTTCTGTTCTCTGTCCGTCTACTCTGACTGAGTTACCAAGCACTCCAAAACGAGCCAATAGACAAAGAGTACGGAGAAAAGTGGCCAGTCTGACCTCCACACCAGTTCAAAGCATATCTAGCATTCGGAGATCTCCCCCTGAAGTGAAGGAAGTGCAGCTACAGTACACCGAACTCATCACTCAGTCGAAGGTCTGATGTGAGCTTATCAGCTTTTTTTTAACAGATGTTTTCCTTATATTTTGTTCCTATAGATTGTATGACTTGCGGTCAGTTCAACCCTTTCTTTTTTCTGTGATAGACGTCAGATGGGGATTTATCACCATGCTCCAACTCCAAATCTCAGAGCAGAAGAAAAAGGAAGTGTGTCTCTCAGTCAAAGCAAGTTATCCCAAGGGCAACAACAAAGCAGACGCACACCAACGGCCCGGCATCCAAACGTCCGCGTGGCAGACCACGGAAGACTGTGGATGTAGAAGGGAGAAGGGATACTCTGGCATCGACGCACTCAAGACCAAGATTTGAACTTAAAGAGCCTGATACACCTGGACAAGGTAGTGTCTGTCTGTCCTGTTGTACTTTAAGAAAATCCGAGACTGTGTAATCTAAGTGAATAATCCAAAGAACTGAATTGTATGGCACCGATTTTTTTTTCTTTTGCAAACTGACTGTTTTCTATGTCTCCCTCCTCTTCCCTAAAGAAGAGTCCTGGCTGTCATCAGATCTGTCCATTGAGCTAAGTCACCACGAGGAACCCTCTTTGTCCTTCCAGGAAGATGAGAAAAGTGAGGAAGAGGAGGAGGAAGAGGAAGACCTACCAAGTTTTTTGACACAGATGGACAAAAGTAAGAGAAGCCAGTGGCTTAAAAAGACCAAAATATATGAAGCGATATGTCTTGAATCCTAAAGCACAAAATGTTGGAGCATTATTTCAACAAGGAGATTAGTCTTTTGCTGCTTGAGAGATTTCTCATTTTCTTCATTTAACTATTTAATGTTTTTTTTTTTTACTTCTTAAAATTAGTGTAGATTGTCCAATTTTACCATGTGTTGTCACAATATTTTAAAGCCATTATGACTTCTGGTTCCCAACACCTTTTTTAAAATTTTTATTAGGGACATTTTGGGACTGGATTTAGGTCTTTTCACTTCTCCCCCCTCTTCTTTTACTTCCATGTGCAGAGATAAGGGAAGGGGAACTGGAAAAGAGCATGCATCTTTTTGCATGTATTACTGAAGCATGCATTGAAAAGTGAACAGTTTGTAATATTAAAAGGAGCATGCTTTGCTCGAAATGATGAGGTGTTCCTTTTGGTCTAATTGTTGGGAAACTACAGATTATAAGCCTTTGGTGCATACTTCAGTCCAACCTTTCATTATCTAATTTTCACCGATCTGTGTTGCAAAGTGGCTGTACAGCTACAAAGAAAATTGAGATGAAAAGAAAAACACGAAACGCAAACCTTGGCATAAAAGATGTCACTGAATTTATATAAGTCTTTTTTAAAGCATTGTATGCATAGTCAGACCTTCTGAGTTGGAGTTGCACATCAATACTGTCTGTGTTATTTTGTCCTCCAGAGCCTCCTTGCATCACAGTGGGAGCTTTTGTGTGGTGTAAATACCGATATTATCCCTCCTGGCCTGCATTGGTAAGTACAAAACAGAATGTAGTTCATTTATTTCTCACAGTGACATGATTAAAATGAAAAAAATCCAGTCAATGTAAAGACAATAAAAATAAAATGGCAGTCCATGAATGCTGTGTTTTGCATCTTGGGCTGATGAAACGATTAAATGTTCCGGCTCTGTGTGGTGCATAAAGTGTACTTCAGCAGCATCGTGGGCTTCTTGTTAGGAGAGCAGTACTTTCACTGTGGGGAATTGATGCTTTTGCGAACCTGAAATATTGGAGAAAAAAGCTTGGTTTTAGCCTGTGATGTTTTTTTTTTGTTTTTTTTTTGCAGGTTAAGAGTGTGAACCGTAAGCAGAAGAAAGCAAGCATCGTGTTTATCGAAGACACAAGCATTCAGAAAAAGAAAGGGTGAGAACTAAAATATGTTCAGTCTGATTGCTTTGTTGGATCACGCTGGTTCATTTTTACTGGTTTAAAGTCACATCTCGTCTTTTATGTAAGCCATTGTTAAATGTGTGTGTCTTCAAAGGTTTACTGTGGCTCTGAAATCACTGAGGCCTTTTGACTGTGAGGAAGCTGATGAGCTGATTGTGAGGACCGCTCTTAAATACTTGTTTCTGGTTGTGGCAGACTGGGTTTCTAAATTTTTTATTTATTTATTTTTTTCTACAGCGCAAAGCCAAAGAAATGTATGACGCTACTGTTACTTGGTCGTTGGAACTGATAGAAGACTACAGGATCAGGATTGGTAAGCTGTGTCCTTTAGTTCTGACAAACAAACAGAGAAAACTGATTTTCACGTCCTTTTGTCTTTCTTTTAAAAGTTCCTTTCTGTTCATAGGCGTGTTAATCATATTCTTTGTCCTTTTTAGCATGTGGTTCGTTTTCTGGCTCCTTCATTGAGTATTTTAATCACGACATGAGTAAGTTTCCTTATTGACATGAAATCTCAGCATTTGTTGCTACCACAGAATCAAGATGGAATTCTCCTAAAACCCAGTAACTCACAGATGATTCACCTCACCTCTACTTTAACCACAGGCTACCCAGTGAGGAGGACGTATCCACAAGCAGCCTCAGAGAGACTAACAATATCCTCTGATATCACGGATAATGGCTTCAGTGACATCAAGGAAGACAGCCTTGATGATATCAAGGAGGATAGCTGTAGTGAGAAGAACGAAGATCTTGGTCGGAGCTCAAAGAGGCTGCTGCCAGACCGGACTCATGCTGCCCACAACCGCGCTAACGAGAAGCTGGTACATTTCATTGTCAAGCAGCGCATGGCGGAACCTCATCTTCTGGTAGGGTTCTTTTATTACTGTTGTAGAAGTTCTCATCTTAGGAGTGAAGGTATCACTCACTTGTGAATTGAACACCTCAGGCTGAGCCAGAGCAGCTGCAGTGAGCTGCCTATGGTGGATGTCGACCCTCTCTGCTATCTGTCTCCTCCTCATTCCACAGGAGTTTTTCATGACACACCCTTTTTCATGCCTTTTCTGAAGCTGAACAATGCAGTTCATGTTGCAAACCCAGCTCCCAAACCTTCACAGACATTAGATTTAAATAAGTCATACTAATTTTTCTCTTGGGATGTATTTCTTCTCCAGTTTACTCCATATTCTTCAGTGTACAAACACAGTTTACTTTAGTTAGTGGTCAGTAGGGCATACATGAGCTGACACCGGAAAGACCCCGACTGTAATTCTTTTTTAGAGAGGAAGAATAACTCCTGTTGGATGTCTCACCTTATTCAAACTGACAGCCATATTTCGGAGAGAGGGAGAGTAACAGCTCATATTAGTGTGGAGAAGAAAGCATCTAATGTCTCCTCCTACTTACAGGCAGTGATCCGAGGGCAGCAGCATTCAAGATGGCTTCGCTCATTTTTGAGTTCCAAGCGGAGACGAGTGGTGAACATATACCTGGAAGATGACCAGCAGCTGGACCAGGTCTACTGGTACCTCAGTGATCTCTGTGCAACAGCAGTTGGTACTGCTCCTTGTTTGGCTGGGGTGAAATCAATGGAGCGCGTACCCTTTGTTCTCGACGTGCTGCTTCCTGAAGTGAGCAACTCCTGTTGAGTGATTATTAATCATATTTTTTTAGTATTGGTATCATGCTTTTTTTCTAATTTTATGTGTCTTTCCATGCAGGCAATTATTTATGCCATTGCTGGAGTGGACAATGTTTCAGTGAAAAAGGCAGAGGAAAAGTACTTAAAGGGACGATGCATAAGTAACAGGTAAAAGCTGATTTTTTTTTAAGCATTAAAATGCAGCTTTATTTAAAAAAAATGAATTATTAATCTTAATAATTCACTCTTTCTGTTTTTCAGGGAGAGACAAGAGTTTGACTTGATGATTGAGCAGCAGATGAGGAGGAAATCACTGCGGCCAAATATGGCTCTGGACTTGCTCTCTGACCCTGGAAGTTAAAGGACTGAGGAATATACTCAACCATTGTTTTCTTCTTTTTTTTTTTTCAAATGACTTTTGTTTGTGGGTGGTACAGCCATATGTATGTGGCCTCTAAATGATTAAGTAAACACATCATGTTAAATCACCTGCTATTTTCAGTTTTTCATACTCATTAATGTAAGGAGAACCAGAAATGCTTAATTAAAATATGAGTATAACTACTTTGTTTTGAGTCACAACTGGAGTATTTGCTGCCAGTTATCTCACATCATTCAGACAAGTGTTAATAGTATTTTGCATGCATATCCTGGTTAGGGGTTGGGGTTATCCTGGTTTTGAAGAATATTTTTTCAAAAGCCACTGTTGAAACAGCACTGTGATGTTGTGGTTAGCCCACATCGCCTCACAGCAAGAGGTTTCCGCAAGGGCCTTTCTGTGTGGAGTTTGCATGTAACCCCCTGTGTGTGGAAGTTCTCACCAGGTAATCTAGTTTCCTCCCTGAGTGTTGGGATAATTGAAGACTCTAAATTGCCCCAGTAATGCATGTGAGTCTGTGTGGTTGTTTAAAAAAAAAAAAGAATTGTTTTATGGCTCTGTGATGGAGTGGCGACCTGTCCATGGTGGACCCCGCCTCTCGCCCAACGACAGCTGGGATAGGCCCCAGCTCTAAAGTAACTCTACTGGAAGTAATCTGTAGTAAATAGATGGAAGGCTGGCCAGATGAAATCACATTCAGCCTGGTTGTTTTATCCTTATTGCACTGACAGCTAAATTGAGGCCAATATTACATAATGAATACAATTATTTTATGATTGTACATGTATATAGAACTCAGTTCATAAAGTGTATGTATGTAAATGTTTGTGGAGAAAAAAAAATGCTTTTTTTCACTCTGTAAAAAATAATAAAGGAGGTTTTTAAGTGGTGGTTAAATTAATGGTTTTAAAAAACTAACTATATTGGTACTATCATGTAGATGATCAATTTTGTTTTGGTACATAGCACCCCAAAGGTGAGCTTGCAGATGACAGTAGAAATATGATGTTCATGCTTCAATCTTCAATATGGGGTACATAATATTATAAGTAATAAATAACATTTCTCGAAAAATAGGAGATGTAGACTATTGTACATCATTTTATTTCCTGCTTGACTTTATTTATCCTCTATCTTCAGATGAAAGGATACGGTTTCATAACTGATTCTTCGAAGTGATAAAGAAAAGGTTTCAGCACCAGAGCAACAATGTCAGTTAATCTTTTGTATGCTGCCACAAAGCCCTTTTTTTTTTAAACCCTCAAAGTCTTTTGCGAATATATTTCTTTTCAATTTGTGATCTTTGTATTTCATATATATCACTTTTAATATGAATTATCAGCCAGTCTTTTATTCTTACTGGAGTTGTATCTACTTTTGTAGTTAAATTTAGCATCTTAAATATCGTTTTCATTTAATGTAATTAGTGTTTGTTAAGTGTGTAATCTTTAAATTTTATCTCACTTCATTGTTCAAGAAATATGCATGAACAGTACATCTCAGTATATTTTCAATTCATAACTAAATAAAAGTGAAAAAAAAAATTGTTCATGCCAAGATCTTACACAACTCAAGTTTGGCTAACACATCCATGCAATAAATCAACAAAATAACATATAATAAACAACAAGCTTCGAACTTCTCATTTTTGTGGCAATTTCAATTTGGAGAATACTTCCTAACCAGAAGGGGGCAGTGAAGTCCTGTGGTTTCTATTCTGCTACAACTACGAGCAGCGAAGAAGAAATGCACAGAGCACTTTTTCACTGTGGAAATGGCGCTTCACGGTGTGGAAGCCTGAAGTCAGGGAAACATTTCGTGTTTGTTTGACAGTTTAAGTAGATTTAGGGCCGTTTCTATTATTTATGGTTAAAGGAGGGTCGGATTATGACAGAAGAGAGAGTTGGGAAAGTCTTCAAGAAAACCAAAGCAGTCGTGGCTCTGAAGCACTCACCATCCTCAGACAGGTAGTGAAACGCTAGCATCGATAGCTGCACGCCGTTCATTGCATCACGTTTCCCTGCGCGGCTACTTCAGAGCTAACGAGAATAAAAAACAACCACAAGAATTCAAATTAAGAAACGTACTTCTACCTTACTTGGGTCTTCTATGTCATGATTGTGACGAGGGTTACTTGTGCACGGCCGAGCATTGTGGTTCAACTGTTCTAGCCTCCCCACAAGATCTACATTTTTGTAACCAACGCATTTAAGTTGGAAAAACCTTGTTACAGTTGATACACTAAATCAAATCAGATTTTGGTACTGCGAAAATGCTCTCTGTTGTTGTCATTCACGTCCATCAAATATAGCGTTTAATACACACTTTCTGGCTAACATCCTTGTTTGAAGTTAGCTACGTTAGCGAAAGTAGCAACGTACATCTGGCTCGTTTCGCCAGCTCCTCTGACTTGAAATACTTGTCTGTTCAACATGTTTAAATGTATCCCTGTTTTTTTTACTTTTATGCATTTCAAACCCTCTTAAATAGCTGGAAATAACTTAATTGGCAATACCCCATGATTGTATATACCTATGGCTATAGTCAGGTTAGCTAGCTTAACTTTAACGTTGAACCTGATTAAACTAATTCTGCGTGACCTTGTATGCTAACTTGTTAGCATGCTAAAGTAGCTGATGTAGGAGGATAAGACAGCCACATATATTTGCTTGACTCTAATTATCATTACTACGTATTTAACATATCCTTAATCTGGTCCACGTTAGAAAAAACTACAGAGTTGTTGTTGTTATAAAGACGCACAGTAGGTTGTTTACATTGTGGAAAGTTAGCTGAATGCAGGCTAGTGCAGCATGTGAAGCTAACTATTGATCTGCAGATGCTAACGAACCAGAAGTATTCTCTAGTAAACTGATGTTAAGAGCCTAATTTTTGCTTCGTGTGTTTTAATGATTCCCTTTCGAGATCTCATATGTATTTGTGCATTGTTTAAGGGTTACCCATGTGCGTACTTAACTTGGAAGATATTCACACACTAATTGCCGTGATTAAAACGCTGTTTTAATCTTCTAATGTAATTAATAATTTAATCTACTGTTGTTATTTTGTACGCCCATAGTTAGCCTGTGAAAATGTTGCAGTGCATTGGATTTAATCGTTTGGGATTTTTTTGCCGGTTCACACTCGCATGTCCACATCCAGCCTCATGTGGAAGCTCAGTGACAGATTTGTTGCGCGGGAGTTCGCTTGAATCCGCTGTGTTTTCTCCGGCGGTCACAGAGGGCAGTGTTGTGTCTGACTAAACACACCCGTCCCCAACGTCTGCAACGCCGCACACCTCACCGATGTAGATTAAAAAACAAACAAACTTGTGGGAGCACCAGTGCAGTGACAAGGTTGGGGCAAGAGCTTAAACATTTACAAAAGTGGGTCGACAACATGACAAGTCTGGTGAGAAATCAACAGAGGAAAAACAGCCGTGGACTCACTGCATTTATGTAGTGTTTATGTCCTGCTCCAATTTGTTGATTTTGTGGGTTGTTTCAGTCATTTGTCTGATTATTTTTGTAGTTCTTTAAAGCATTTTAAATATCTTAGACCTCTGTAGCAGCATGTGATGTTGTTGATTACAAAGTGAGCTCAGTTTGTGCTCCAGCTGTCAGCACGTTCACTTACTGAGCAGATCCTGACAACTGGAGGTCCAGCTGTTGTCTGAAAGACAGAGACCCATTCATCCATAAAACGTATAGCTGAATGCGTCACACCAATCTCCTTGCTGGTTATTATGTGGGTACAGGAATTTTTTAAAACTTATTTACTGTTGTCTCATGAGTAAGCACGTTGGCGACATATTGCAGAACGATGAACTTTTGACCTCTTAGATATACATTTTTAGTCTTTTAAGGGAGTTAACATATTGCTCCTTTTTTCACAACATGTTCTTGTGTTTTTGTTTACGCAGTGAATAATGCATGACCTGACTGCCCAAGTCACCAGTAGCCTGCTGCCCTTCTCAAAGGTGACTGTAGATGCTCTGGGGGAGGATGAGATCACTCTGGATTCTGTTCTTCAGGGCAAGTTCACTGTTGGTAAGTATTTTGCTATTTTTGTTAATGGATCGTCTATTATGCCATGTGTTGATAATGGAGAGATTGAACATAAATTTAAACAAATGATTATTATGTAATTGCAAGGATATCGAGAAACATGACTCAGTGGAAAATATCAGAAGTAAGAATTGAATACAGCTATAAAGTGTTACTTAAATAATGCAAGCAAATCATATGTAGAAAAATTGAAAGGCTCACAATGAAGGTGACAACATAATAAATAGGAATACTGAACAACTGATGAATCTATACTCATTCATGCAAAATATTTATACATGAATGGATTTTCTTTCATGATTTCTTTTTTTTTTTCACATTATAGTTTAATCTTTGTTTGTATCACTAGATATTTGGATTTCAGTTTACTTTATAATGCAAGCTATACATGCTTTGTCGGACTATTGGAGGAAATAGTATGAACACAGCTTCAACACGGATCCCAACACCTCTTCATTTCTTTGTCTGCTTATGAAGGCCGCAGCGGGGTGGCCTGGTTGGCTTGTGGGCCCCATCTGGAGGTTGTCCATGCAGTGACAGGAGAACGGCTGTCTGCATACTGCTTCAGTGGTGGAGGAGAGCACCCACCCAACGTTATTGCTGCCAGGGACTTCAGCTGGGTGAAACGGTCTGAGCTTTCTTTCACTGACTCTGTACACTTCTGTTATTAAAGTTTATTTTCAATCACAGGGAAATGCATTTCCCTTTCTTTTTTGACATATAATGAGTATAAATGGAGAGTTGTGATAGAGCTTGATATCGAAAGAATACTAAAAGATCACTGTATTAATTTGAACAGGTCTGGATTGTTGGTGGGCTTGGAAGAAGCAGAGGGAAGCGTGCTATGTTTGTATGACTTGGGGCTGTCAAGGGTGGTTAAAGCTGTGGTTATACCTGGACGGGTGAGTTGGCTGTTCCTCTTCCTCTTTTTACCGGTCATTTTCTGATAATTTAAATTTAGTTCTACTGTCATATTATTTTTAGACTTAAGTTCTATGTTAAATCCATTCACACAACTGAAATGGTATGTCTGTTCTACCTCCACAAGAGGTAAAAAATACTCAAAATCAAACGTTTTCTCCCATAGATCACAGCTATTGAGCCCCTTGTGAGTTATGGTGGAGCTAGCACTTCAACACAGCACCTGCACCAGAGCCTGCGTTGGTTCTTTGGCATTGCTGCCGTAGTAACAGATCTTGGTCATGTTCTGCTGGTGGACCTCTGTCTGGACGATCTGTCCTGCAGCCAAAATGAGCAGGAGGCTTCAGGTGAGGAGCTGCCTGGAGGAATAGTGTGCTAGTTGTGTTGATAGACCTGTGTAAATGTTCTATTTTTGCACCCTGTGCCTAAAAATGCTGAGTCAGTGCTTTATTATCTCTCTTTACATTACATTTAACAAGCTTTGAACGATATATGTTTCACCTTTAAATATATTAAATATGTTGTATTGCTTGAAAGTTTGTGAAACCATGTAATATTTTATATATTTCTACATATTTCTGCACTAAAATAGTATCCAACCTATTTTCTCAAAGTCTTACAAAAGTGGCAATTAAGATAAGGCCATAGTTTTTCTCCTTGGGACTGTGTAAGCAACAGAGATTGCAACCGTAGTAAAATATATAATGTGCCGCAACCATTTTCACACGTCGACTACAAAGATACTCAGGGGAAAAAGTGAGGTCTTAGTCTGTGGTTGTGCATTAAATTTGGAGAACTGTGGTTCAGAAATTACACAGTAGAAATCATAGGATGTCAGAGGACCAGAGAAAAGTGGGTGAGGTTTATTACTGTGCTGCTGTGAACTGCATGTCTCATGTACAGCAGGGAGTGAGAGGTAAGCAGCATACAGATCCCAAGTTAATGTTTAGGCGTCCACTGTCATGACCGCAGTAAAGAAAGGAAAGGTCACTGCTTGGTATTTAACCCTGCTCAAAGTTCATGATGTTTTCAATAGTTTATCTGTATATATGTATAACAAAGAAAACCTTTACAACCACCTCTTTGTTTATCTTCTGTTTGCAGACCTTCAGGTAGTGACCAAATCTCCTGCAGAGATCCCCAGGCTCAGAGAGGTTAGCACCAGACAAGGCAGACATCTTTGCCTCCAGCTAAATGGGCCCAATGGAGTCGGTGTTACAGCTTTGCAGTACATCACTAGAACCAATCAGCTGGCGGTGGGATTTTCAGATGGGTATTTGCAGCTGTGGAACATGAAGGCTTTAAAAAAAGAGTGAGTGTTTCTTTGTTTTTTGGGGAAGAAAAAGTCAGTGGAGCTCATAAAAAGCTTTTCTTTTGAAGAGATTTTGTATCAACAGTAGTATGACATATTAGAAATCAGAACTTATTAGTATGTTTTGGCTTGTTAAATTTTAGATACCACTCACAGTTGGAGGGTGGGAGGGTGCCTGTGCATGCATTCACCTTCCAAGAGCCAGAGAACGACCCCAGGAACTGCTGCTACCTCTGGGCTGTGCAGTCATCTCAGGACCTGTAAGTTTTGCTTGTGGTATAAGCGATAGTTGAATAGTTCTACATTTAGGCAAAGTGGGCGTGTATTGAACCCCTCAAGATCTCATTATACTGTTACTCCCACACAGTGAGGGAGATATGGTCAGCCTTCACTTGCTTCAGCTGGCTTTCAGTGAAAGAAAGTGCCTGGCTTCTGGAAAGATCCTCTATGAGGTGCGTGGTTACGTTTTTCTCGATTGATTATTTTAGAAAAAAAAATATATAAAAAATACGAATCTCAGTGTAATCATTTTTCTCCTTATTATTTTTCTTCCTCTCCCCTACCTCCTTCTCTGACTCAGGGTCTTGAGTATTGTGAAGAACGTTACAGCCAGGATTTAAGTGGCAGGACTTTTCCTCTCAGGGCTCAGGCCACGAGCACACGGCTGCTCAGCTGCCAGACGATTGAGAAATTCAGACACCATCCAGACAGAGACGACAGTATGAATGAAGGTTAGCCTCGCTGTGCTGACATTCAGTGTGGGCGGGGGCTTTATTAGTCTCAAGTAAAATTTTAAAGTTCTGCTCTCTAAGCACTCTGGCTTAATTTAATTTCTTCCGGTCATTTTTTTTTAATTGTTATCAACACTTCCACATCCTTTACCTCTTTCTCTTTTCTGACTATGTTCCGTTTTCTGCCCTTTGCAGTTGCATCACCAGACACCAGTGTGTCCATCTTCTCGTGGCAAATCAAGGCTTACGGCCAGGGAACCCCAACAACCTACATAGGAGTTTTTGACATCAACCGCTGGTACCATGCCCAAATGCCAGACTCCTTAAGGTCTGTTTGTGGCTGAACCTCAATTTTTCATGTTGGTGATCTAGTGGAATGGGAAAGAAAATTGTAGAAATTCTGTGGGTTTTATGTTTAATTTATCTAACTAAATTTATCTATCTAATTTATCTTTTGTATTTTTGTCAGAACTGGAGAGTCTTTGCATAATTGCCCCTACCTGGCTGTGTGGTCGCTGGACTCAGTGGTGCAGATGGTTTCTCCCCACATCCTCATAGACGTTGTTGTACATGAGCGCAGTCTAAGCAGGGGCCTGCCCTTCAGCTGCCCGCCACCAGAACAGTACTTTAACCCCACCACATATAACTTTGGTAGGTTTAAACAACTTTTGTTCCTCAGTCCTTACATGGAGAGATTGCAAACCATTCCAGGTTCATGTTGTTTTTCATTCAGCTCTTTAGCAGGAATCTTGAATGTATAGATGGGAAAATACCTCTGAACTAATGTTAATAAAAGCTGAGTATGTTTTTTTTGTCTTGATGCAGATGCTACGTGCTTGCTCAACACTGGAATTGTGCACTTAACCTGCTCTGGGTATCAGAAAGAGGCAAGTTTTTAGTACACAAATGTCATTAAGAAGTTGAGCAAGCATATAAGATTGACCACAAATTTGATCTTTGTCATTACAACCAGACTTTAGGTTTTTTGAAGAAGGTTGTTCCTTATTCCAGTGAAATCATCTCCGCCAGCTACTCTCACTGCCTTAAGTCAGGCCTACTCTCATCTCGCCTGGCCGACACTCAGCCCTCCAGCCTCTCTCAGGTAACGCATGCAAAACATCATTACTGCTTCATGTGCGAGTTCAGTACCTTTAGTTCCTGATTGTGGGAGTATAAGAAACGTCTTCATCATCTTAGAGCTATTTAGATTTAAATGCTGTGCATCATGGACCTGGACTACGGAAAGGCCAAGTCAGATCAAGCATAACGAGTTCTCTGTTTTAGTTATTGCTCTTTATTGGCTGCTAAATACAGAGACTGATTGCGTCCATGTCACCATCAATAGAACTGGATCTTTTAAAATAAAGCCTCTGCTTTACGTTTTAGTCAGAAAATGTACATGTAACTTGTTGTTGCTTAGGAGGAGAAGCTGGATGCCATCTTGTCAACAGCAGTTGAGACCAGCTCCCTGGGGATGATCACTGGCTGCATCAAGCAGTGGACCGCAGAAGGTAAGGACGTGTGCCCCAAATCTTTTAAATCAAAACACACCTGGATGTGTTTACTACTTAATCAGTAAGTTTCTATGCTTTTCATTCCACAGTCACACTGCAGCCAACTTTAAATCATCTCATTTTGTTCTCCCCATAGAACAACCAGGCTCTGCCCTGAATCTGCGCTACATCCTGGACTGGGCTTGGAACAAAGTTGTCCAGACCAAGGAGGACCTTGATGGCATCTGTATGTTTTAAGAAAAAGGAGTCTTTAAACATTTATTAGATAATCAAAGAAAACTTAAACCGGTTACTCTGAGTTTCTTGATTCTAAGGTTTTCCACAACCAGTATTTAATTACATCCTATAGAAAAGCTTCCACTTTTTTCATTATAATCTTTTCATTATAACTGGAGTATTAGTATAGCCTGTTTTGTCAGGTTGCCTATGGCCTATAGGAAATTCTGAACATTGATATTAACATTAAAATGGATTCACATTGATTTTTTTTCTTTTTCAGTTTATTTGTTGATGTTAAACATGTTTTCGTTCGTGTGTGTGTGTGTGTTTGAACTCCAGGTGCTCCACTGTTTGACAGCTCCTCCAACTTTACCGACCCTCAGACCTTGCAGCTGCTGCAACACAGCCAGAGACTGCTCAGCAACCTTAGTGCCATCTTCCACTGCCTGCTCAGCGAAGCTCAGGAGCTCACACAAAAAGGTACCCTGTCCACACAGCATTTGCTTTTGCTGCTGCTGAAACCACTAAAATCCTGTTTTAATTCACATTTTACATCTATGAAATAATGTGACATTTCTGCTTAACTGATATAGTGATTTATGTATTTCATATTATTGTTTTGTAGGTCTGGCAGGTCTGATGAACAAAAACATGGTTTCCAGTTTAATATCCAAGTACGCTCAAGTCGTGCTGTGGTTCTGTCGTACCGGTTTACTCCCAGAAGGATCAGGTAATCCCATGTTGACAGATCTTTGGGGAAATTAGCTTTCAGAAATGTTTAACTCCAAATTTGGAAGTTGAAGAGAAAAAACTCATGGAAAATAAGTATATATAGTAACAACACTGTTAAAGAACAATAGCTAACAGGAAACATTTTGGTTGTGAAAAAAGGAAAGAGAAACTACACACCTCTTTGCTGATGACACTTGATGCTTATTGTTGGTTTAAAATGAATTGTCATTACCCATATACTCGGTTTGGCTTGTCATACTTGTCTTTGACTGATCTCGCTGCCAGATGAAGATGTCCTCCAGATTTCCAGGCCTTTCTTCACTCACTCAGTCATCAGCAACTATTACACGATACGCAGAGAGGAGCTGATCAGGCTGGCCAAGTAAGTCCTGACTTCAGTAGAAATGTTTAGGTTATTTTGGGAAATGGTCACACTTCTGAAATAGTTATCTTCAGTTCTCCCAATTGTCCACTTTTTTCATGAAGCATGTTGGTGGTCTGAGTCGGTCCCCTGCTGTTTTCTTCTCAGGGACAAGTGGTGTGCAGACTGCCTCATGATAGACGGTTTGGTCGGTCAGTGTGGTGAACGCTTGACCGGCCTATGGAAAAGAGATGAGGGTGGAACAGGACAGTACCCACCACCTACACTGCATGTACGATGAGGACGATTCTGTATTCAAATGAATTGCTTTGGTATCACTAAGCTGTTGATATGGAATCTGTAAAGGTAGATTTTGACTGTGTGTTTGTATTTTAAGGCTTTGCTGGACACCTACCTGCTGGACAATGTTGACGAAGCTTCCAAACATGCAATAGTATCCTTAAACTACTCGTGCCTGCTGACATCAGTTTCAATGCCATTCTTGTCAAGCTATCGTGTTTTTCTTGTGAAATTAGTTTATTTTAGAATGAGTGACGTTAATAAATATACACAAGATGATTTTCAGGAGAGAAGCTCAGTGCTAAATTTGACCACAAACCTGCTGGAAGGTTCCTTGACTTGTTGTTTCAGGTAATTTACCTCCTGTTGGATGTCATGTACTCCTTCCCCAATAAAGATGGAGCATCTGTGGAGTCTTTTCCCACAGCTTTCGCCATCCCCATCGGACTGGTCAAGCTGGTACAGGGCCTCTGGCTACTGGACCATCATGACCATCAGGTAAAAACTGGTGCACAATTGAGCCCTGATGTTCGATGTGTGAATCCACTCTTATAATTCAAGTCATTGACGTGTGTTTGCTTATTTTTTTGTTTGTTTTTATACATAAAAAAATGTCTTGCTTTTATTTAGCTGTGGTGTCCTACTTCTCCATGGACTTCTGTCTGAATCTGATGTTCTATATGCCATCTTTTCAGTGATAGCTAATGCAAAGAATGTACTATGTGCGTTTCACTGTTATTTAATTTCACAGTTGGTGAATAATATATTTAATTTGAGTGTCAGTTTGACTGAAAAAAACCTTTCTATGTCCTTACCAGAGTTCATTTGAGCTGCTCCTGCATCCAGCTGCCTCTCAGTATCATTTTGAATGGCAGCATGAGCGTGTCCTGAATGCACTGATGTGCCAGGGCCAGCAATCTGTGGCACTTCGATACTTCCACGTCACAAAGCCCCCAATTTCCTCCACCCCACAGGCCAAACTCAGCTTATCTGTTTTGTTGCACAACAGGTAAGTGAACAGAAGAGGATTCTTAGGTGATACCAGCCGTCTCATTTTATTTTTATCAAGCAGCCAGTTCGCTCTTTTTCCAGGTGTCTTATCGAGGCGTGGGGCTTACTTCGGCAGCACTCCAATCGTCTAAACATCGCCGAGCTGCTTGGCTTCCTGTATGAGAGCTGCCAGGAGTTGGGCCTCATCAAAGAGCTCCTCAAACTGCCCCTGTCTCTAAATGAACAGGTTAAGAATAAGTTGGTTTTATTACTACTCTGTCCTTTAGAATGTAAAAAGCCTTACACCTGAAGTTTCTGCATTCTTTTCCAGGAGTGTTTGGAAAAGTTTCTCCAGGGTACAGGTGGTCTGCAAAACAGAGAACTGTTGATGGTTCATTACCTTCAGCAGGCTAACTACATTCCAGCTCTGCAGCTCAACCAGAGTCTTAAAATGAACCTGGTGGTATGTTTGAGAAACGCTCATTCTTGTGCCATTTATATTTTATTCAGACATATGTATGAATTGTGATCAGTTTCCTGTCAACTGAAAATTGTTCCACCATACTGTTCTCCGATCGTAGAATGAGCGAGACCCAAAGCTGAAAGAGCGATCCATCACCAGAAACTCCATTTTGGATCAGTACGGCAAAGTTTTACCCAGAGTGCAAAGAAAATTGGCAATGGAGAGAGCCAAACCTTATCAATATCCCAACACTATCCACAGAGGAGGTGAGAAAGCTTTGTTTAATAAAGTTTGTTTAAGCATTTTTTTTCTGTATTCAGTTTATTTCACTTAGTAATGGCTGAAATTAGACTTACTTTAATCTAAAGATTTTACCACAATTATCTAATCTTAATAACATCTCTGAAATCTGTTCTCCAGATTCTTGTCCGCAGCCTCTGTCGACCATCACAAAGCATTCTTCCAAGGAGAAAGTGATGTCCAGAGCGGGATTTATCAACAATGTCCTCACTAAGATTGAAGAGGTGTGGTTGGGCAAAGAAGCCACACCACAGTCCTCCCCAGCAAGGAGGTGAGAAAACACTTCCCACTTTAAGCTTAGTCATCTTCACTTCTGATTTGTTTGTAACATTTCCTCTTTACCTCTGCTGGTCTCAGGGGAGCTCATGTTCAGACCCCCAGCCCATCTGCTTATCGTGATCCCTTTCTGGGAACCCCCATCACCATGACTTCCAAACGAAAGTCAAGGTACTCGTATGTGAAATTTGCCATTCTGGTGTTATGAGACTTGTCGGGTTTTGCTCAGGGATCTCTGAACATGATGGACGTTTTGTGGTGGTCCCTCTTAGGTTGATGGATTTGGTGGTACATCCCTCCTATCAGAGCCCTCAGCCTCTCCTCAGCCCTCCCAGACCTCCTAGCTCCTGGGTTTCTCCAAAGAGCATCTGCAAAGTCCCTGAACTCAGTTTGCTGCAAACGCCACAAGTTGTCAAAGTGAGTCCACAGACGTATTTCTTCAGGCATGTTCACAGGAATCATCAGTTTTTTTGGTGCTTGAAATAATTGGCATGACGTGTTTCTCGTGGTTCCCCTTCAGAGAGCTCGGGCCTTGGCTGCCTCGGGCCCCGTGTTTACAGCTTTCACCCCTCAGTCCATCCTGCGCAGCAGCCTGAGGCCCACACCCGTTGCTACCCCTTCTGCCTCCCCGGGGCGCTCCATCACCCCCCCACTCCGCAGCAAAGAAAGCCGAATCACCTTCATTGAAGAGGCCGATGTCCCTGAAACGGAGAAGAGCATCAGATGGACTAACGGAGTAAGACCCTGTTCACAATACAAGTCGGCTAACTCGGTCATTGGTTTAATGTTGAAAATTCTCATATTTTTCTTCTTTAGATGGCAGCGGAAAGCGAGATCAGCCTGCTGACCAGAAGCTCCACAATATCTAAAGCAGTGTGCAAGTCCTGGTCCTCACAGCCTGCTGAGGAGGAAGGGGAGGAGGAATTGGACGAGGAAGCAGAGCAACCTCGCTTAAAGTTCTTACCTCCAAAAGGCGGTATTCCCTCAGCACAGCTCCGTTGCTCAGAGAGCGAGTCGTCCTCCACCCACGAAGTGGCTGCAGAAGCAAACCCCCCCGACACAGCTCAGGCACATCTCAGCCTGAGCCTTGACACCAGCAAAGTGTCTGTTCGCTCTACTGACACCACTCTGGAGTACTATGATGCCCCTCTTTCAGAAGATCACGAAGCAGACCCTGAGCAAGCAGCTCCACACCAGGAGGACGATGTGGTGACACTGAACATCAAACCTCTGGCTGGAATGGAAGACGCCGAGGAAAAGCCTGAAGCAACCACTGAGCAGCCCCCACAGCTTCAATCACAGGAAGCAGAGGAGGAAGAGGAGGAAGATGAACCCTTTGAGGATGTGCTGGACACTAGTCTCCAACATCAGAAAAAGGACGAGGAAGAAGCTGAGTCCAAGGCGGAGGATGACTCCAAGACGGAGGACGAGTCCAAAACGGAGGACGAGTCCAAGACGGAGGACGAGTCCAAGACGGAGGACGAGTCCAAGACGGAGGACGAGTCCAAGACGGAGGACGAGTCCAAAACGGAAGACGAGTCCAAAATGGAGGACGAACCACATGTTGAGCTCGGCAGTGAACAAGAATCCATTTCAACTCGTCACCAAGAAGAGGCGCCCACTCATCACGAAGGTACACTGACATTATTTTTTCAGAAAAGACAGATGTAGAAAAATACTTGTTTTGATAGACCAATTTTGTCCGTCACCAGCTGGTAACCAGATAACTGAGAGCTCAGACTCTGAGCTAAGGCCTGAGGAGAACTCAGTGAAAGCTGAAGGACTGGACCTTCAGCCAGAGTTCCCAGACGGTCCAGAGCAGAGCGTCGAGCCGCCGGAACCGTTTGCAGGAGCTGAAACTGGAAATGAAATGGCGGCAGAGGATCTGGAGCATTCCACAGGTCCACTCTTTAATTAATCGTGTAGTTTTTTAAAGGAGTGGACTGTCCTCATGTTCCCAGTACTGTCAGCTGGATCTCTATGGTGGAGATCTCAGCCACTTTAAGATAGACTGTATCCTGTGTTATTGAATTCGAATGCAGTTATTTAAAAAGAAAAAAAAAGATAGCTTTTTGAAAATAAATATTTCTTTCATTTTGCCATCAGATCTGACAGAGTTTGTGCAGCAGCACCTGTTTGGTGGAGACCTGTCTCCTCCTCTCACCCGCTCAGCCATCCATGATGCATCAAGGGCCCAGACCTTTTTGAGCAGGTGTGTCCTCTTTGTTGTTTACACACACAGATCTCAGCTAACCCCCCCCCATTACACAGGTGAGCTGGATAGTTTTAAAAATGTTTTGGAGCAATCCCTAACATTAGCTGCTGTGCCCACTCTCTCCCCAGCGAGTCGTTGGGGGGTGGAGAAGAGGAGGAGCAGGCTGCCGTGGAAGCTCCTCCGGTGTTCACCACCCAAAAATCTACTCCATCTGTTACCTCCTCAGAACCAACGGGCACAGACTCCCACTGTAAGGATGGTTTACAGCACATGCTCATTAACAGCACTGCTGCTCGTGCTACTCCATTTTGTTAAATAATTTTTTTTTTTGTAAATGTCATGTCCTAGCTGTAGTAAGTGTCAACGACAGTGAAGAGCTATCTAGCCCTGCCTCTGAAGACGAAGAGGAGGAGGAGGATTCATCTGATCAAGCTGATGGACAAGAAGAAGAGGAGGAGGAGGAGGAGGACTCTGGCAGTGAGGTGGAGATCATTCAGGAGGTCCAGGGCAATGGGAGACTGCCACCCCTTCAGCCCAGCTCGCTCTTTGTACAGGAGGAGCACACACACTACGTTTCTGAGCAGGAAGCTGCTGAGCTTTCTCTGATCGCACCCAGCGCTGAGATAAAGGTAGATCTGGGAGAAATGTTTGGAATTCTGCCTTGCTGTGACTTCAGTACAAGCACAGAGGTGATACATATAAGTATCATGCTGTATTAAAGGATATTTCAAAAGTTGACCAGCAGCTGTGTTTGCTTCTTTACAGATGGTGGAGGAGGTCCTGGAGGGTGAGGTGTTGATGGTGAGACTGGGGGCAGATGAGGTAGAGATGAATCCAGACGAGGACATGGAGCAGGGTTCATCATATGTGGAGCTCAAACCTTCCACCACGCTCCTGGTCCCCCTGGAGCTGGTGGAGGGACAGCACGGCCTGGCCGACGGCCCTCAGCTGGATCTCCCTGAGCTTCAGCATGCTGTTTTAGCAGCTGACCTGCAGTCGGATAGCCGCCCCAGCTTCTCCCTGATGCTGGATGCTGACGAGGAGGACCTCAAAGAGGTGGTGGCCCTGCCCGCCGAGGACGAGCTGCTGTCACCCGTCCCCTCCAGTCTGCCTCCCGTCGTGGAGATTAGCCACGAACTTTTGGCCGAACCCGATCTCATTCCTCTGAGCACAGATGGAGGAGATATTCCTTTACTTGAAGAAGCCTCGCAAGAGCACAAACGGGAGGAGATGGATGGTTTGGAGGGAATGTCCGCTGCCGGGTGGAATGAAGGAGAGCCGGTGGAGCTCGGTCCTGAGCCACAGACTGAACACGCTGCAGCAGGGCAGGAGGCCCATGATGCTGGAGAGGAACAAGCTGTGGAGTTAGTTTTGTTACCTGAAGATCAGGATTCTGATTCACTGGCGTTCTCTGTGCCACCTGTAGCGGAGGAGCTTCCAGCAGTCATCAATGAGGAAGAGCCTGTGGTTAATACGGAGACGGTGGAGGAGGAGATCAGAGAGGAAGACGAAGCCACAGCTGCTGAGCAGCAGCCTGAGGCTGCTGAGCAGCAGAAGTCTGGGGAGAACGGCTCTGTACATCCAGATGTGGAGATGGAGCCAGCTGTGATGGAGGGCGAGCAGAAGAACGACGTCATTGTCTCAGCGGAGTCAGAAACTAAGACGGAGGAGCAAACAAACCAAGAAGTTGGACTTCAAAATGCTGAAGAGGAAATGCCTTTGGAACCGGTTTTGAGCTCAGACAGCCAGCCGGACAAAGAGCCCGCACCACAGAACGCCACCGCCCAGAAGACCAAGGCTCCTTCAACGCCAACGCGGAGGATGACGAGAGGGAGGAATGTCACCTTCATCTCACCGCCTCCAGAGCCAGATGAGGACGCAAACGGTGCCAGATTAAGCCCCGAGGTCCCAGCTTCACAGAGGCGGACGGCTAGAAAAGCAGCTGAGACCAGACGCCAAACCAGGACCCCTCCAAGACGAAGCCACAAAAGTCAGCCCGACCATCCAGAGGGCGAAGGGGCCGAGGACGTGGACGATGACACCCGGGCTGCTCCGGCCTCCACAGCCGCTTCCCCCGCCCGACGCTCGCAGAGGGCCGCGGCTCTGAGGTCCAGCCAGAGAATCCGAGATGCCAGCGAGGACACCTCCACAGACACAGACGAGGACAGCAGGGACGAGGAGCACCAGGAGGACCAGCTGGCCGCAACGATCGGACGACGAACCGCCCCCAAGACTCCGACGCCATCGAAGCGCCGGAACGCTCAGGACAAGACGCCCAGGCGGTCCAGCCGGCGGGCGGCGGACAGCAGCGCGGTGGAGCCGCTGCAGCTGGAGGTGGTGGAAGAGGAGCCGGACTCCCCCGTCCGCACGGTGAAGCGCAGCACCCGAAAGACCAGGGCGGAGGCGCTGCCCGCCCTGCCGGAGGAGGGAGAGGATAAAAAATCCCCGCCCTCCAGCCCAGGGAGGTCAACCCGACAGTCCAGCCGCGTTATCCTAAACGTGTACCCACAGGTAAGCTGAGCAACGCCTTTTGTGCTGATATGATATTTCAGGACATCATTCCCGTGATTTAAAAGGGCACCAATCATTCTTCTGTCACACTTTTTTTTGTAGTTTTTTTTGTGATGGGAGGGGGGGGTCATAGTGAATAAATGTTGCTTTTTGTTTTTTCATATCATCCCCAATATTCCTGCATGCTGTACACATCATTCCATGTCATGTTTGAAACCTAATCCATCCATCCTTGACATTTAAAACATCTTTAGGTGAAACTGGTTCCTGTATCCCTCCCTCAGAGCACCAGGAAGACCAAGCTCCGGGCGGCTGCTGTAGACGCAAAGGAAAGCGAGGATCTGAGCGAGTCTGAACTTGGCAGAAATGCCAGCCAAAACAACTCCCGTCGGCCCACTCGAAGCAAACTTTGGCACCATCCCGAGGAGGATCTGCCCCTACTGGACTCCCCGCTGGAGGTGGACTCTGAAACTCCCGTGGCAGATGCCCTCATCAAGAGACTGCAGGATGAGGAAGAGAAGCAGGAGGGTAAGAGCATGATGATCTCAGACAGTATGCAGCCAGGCCTTAAGCTAACCGATCACTCCAGCAGTGTTCTGCAACAAGATTCATCAGTGTGAATGTTGACGATCCGACTTATTCAATACAGGAGCACCAGAGATGGAGAGAACCAGGAAGAAGAGCACAAGAAGCGCATCATCCATGGAGCAGGTTTCCTCTCTGCCCCCAGTGGCAGACGGCCTGGAACCCGCAGATAAAGAGGAGGAGGCTAGTCCGGCTGAACATTCCTTCATCTACTCACCGGCCCGCAGCAGGCGGACCAGAGGTGAGCCCAGCGCCTCCTGGTGGTGGTTTGTGTTTGGTGGACCTGTGGTGGTCTGACTCGTGCGCCCTTATCTCAGCTCACAGAGAAGAGTCTCCAGAGCCAATAGAAGAGCCGGAGGCACCTGTGACGCGCAGCAGGAGAAGAGCCAGGCACGCCGCTCCTCAGGTAAGAGCCTCGCTTTCTACAGTTTTCTGCCAAGGACACATGCAATATTAAAGTAAAATTTGAATTTCAGCAGATCATCTGAACCTTTAGAAGAAAAGTTTATCAAGACAAAAGACTCAGGATCAAATTTTATATTTAAAGAATAAAGTGCTGAATGAATGAAGGTCAAATATTTGGTTTGTTCTTTAGGAGACGGTTTCTTCAGACGATCATGTTGAAGCTGAAAAGGAAACTAGTGTTTCTAGACCCAGAAGAACAGGAAAACGAATGGCCAAGTAAGAAGCTCTGAGGAGCATAAATTAAGTTTTTGAAACTTTCAGTATTTATGTCTTTATTTCTTATTGTTTTTTCCCCTTCCTTCACCGTCAGATCCAAAGCAGTTTTGGAGCCTCCTCCCATGGCAGAAGTGGACCTGATCTCCCCTCTGCCCAGTCCAGCCGATCCGCTCCCGAAAGTGCTGAAGAGAATTCCAGCTGGAGACGTACAAACCACCAGCAGGAACCTGCGGCGTAAACGCATAATGGACACTGTCTTCACCAAACCCGTCACCAGGAGGAAGAAACTGTAAGGAGGTCGGTGGCTGCTTCTTCTTTTTTCTACCAGTGAACCTCAGACAGCCACCTGAAGATGTAAAGCAAATCAGTCGTGGGCTCTTAGATTTATTAAAAAAGGAAATCTGAAGGCCCTACGTCTCTGCTTCCTCTCGGGGCTCCCAGCTGATCCGCTCTAACCGGACGTCCCGCCATATAGAAAAATACAAGCTGTGCCGGGAGAAAACCTATTTTTAAGACAAACACACCGTGTGATGAAGAGGATTTTATTTTTTGGAGTTTACGTTCTCTCTGGCACTTGACTTGATCTGGAATCCGTGGCCAGAGTTGGACGTGTTCTGTGAGGATTCTGGGCTTGAGCTCCGCACAAAGAAAAGCAATCGCTCCCATGAATAAAATCAGACTGAACTAAAACCGCCTCTCATAAAGAGGTTTTATTGACATTCTTTTAAGGTCTTTGTTGTTGATTACTTTTAAAAATTCATTGCCTGCTGTTTTTTTTTTTCTATTTAAGTGGGGGAAAAAAACAACAGATCAGTGGAAATGAATTTCTACTGCTAGATTTGTATATAGTCCTTTGATATGTTCCAAATAAAGTTAATAAAGAAGAATTATGTTGACTGAATTTTACATGTCTTCTGAATGCATTGGATTATCTGAGCAGATTGCCTTTGCCATAGTCTTAAAACTTGATTCGAGGCGTTTGTGGGGACCGTGTCACTGTTTGGGCGGGGGGGGGGGGGGGGGGGGGTAGCATACTGGGTGTTCATAGTTAAAGTTCCAAATCTTGCACATCAGTTCATCACGTTAAACTTAATTTGGGGCATGTCCATAGAATTGTTTGCTGGAAGTTATGGCAACCACCATCTGAAACAGGCTATTTTCTGACGAATGTATGTAGAATGTCTTATTTTTGATGACTGCTCTTTGATAAATGTGAAAAGCTTTACTTTGCTTGAGTGATCGTGTCAGTTCTTATTGTCCTCTGTGTGTGTGTGTGTGTTTGTGTTTTTGGCTGTGTATGTATGGAAGGTAAGATCACAAAGCTTGTTCTGTCTGTTGGCGGTGTGACCTGTAATAGGGAAACGGACACCTCAGTTTATCGTTGCAAATAGGTGAGAGCTTAATCCATAGTTCCCTGAGATATTGGCTAGGAGAAGTTTTAAAGTAAGACCAGGTCAGAGTGTGTAGAACCGCTTTCACTGAGAAAGGCATTCACATACAGACCCAATGTAGCCTCACTGTTCTGTTTGAATGTTATCACGGTTGAGCCTTTATGTGATATAAAGATCCAGGGAAAACCAGAACGTCTTGAAATTAGGTCAATTTTTTTAATGCATTGATGCATCACATTCCATTGGATAGAGCAAGTCTGCCCTCATGTTGTACATAGATTTTCAGAGCTATGTGATGACTAATCTGCCTTCTGCCTCCTCCTGGACGTGAGCCCACATCAGTCTTTTTTTGGACCTACCGTTACTACTGTCTGTACTCTTTGTCTTGACTGCTCACAAACCTTAACTGCTGTGTTTTTACCACTGGATCAAGACCAGGTTCCCGATCGTTCCCGTTTGCGGCGGACGATGGCGGCTACGTCTTGTTTAAGTGTGGAGACGCTGTGTTCCAGCTGCTCTGAGAAGTCTCTCAGCAGGAGACTCTGCTCGTCCACAAAGAGTCTGAGTCCCAGCAGGTCTGACTCCTCCTGCAGGTCACAAACGCATCATCGTGCTGGCTCAGAAGGTTTAACACAGAACATTTTCTGTTACTGACCAACAAAGAAGTGTCAGCAAACCATACAGAAACCTGGAATCTTTAACCCTGTAATGCCAAATGTATCATATTTGATACGTACGGTTTCTGAAATGTTTTGTGTCTGACTCCTTTTATATAATTTAATGGTAAAAGCTTTGCTCGAAATCCTTTTTTTCACAATCAGATACACCTGATAACAGGGGGCAGAAGACTACACAAAAAATAATCTTGACTTATCGCATAGTAATAAATTATTAATATAAAAAAAATTATTTCTGTTTTTTCTTTTTACATATTTTGTTAAAAGGCTAAATAAAGACTTCAAACCGAAAAAAAGTAATTTTCTGTTTAGTTTTATTCTTGGATCGGGCTTTAAAGGGTTAATCTGGTCAATAACCATTTATGATTTTCCCATGTTTAGCAATCATAATTTTGGATCTTCAGTGCCCCCAGAAGGTATCTCTGAACCTACAGTGGAATCCTAACGGCTCTCTGAATGAAAACAGGTACTGTATGGCTGTTGTAAAGAAACACAAACGCGGGGGCTCACACTGGGCCGGTGTCTGCGCAGCCGCTGCAGCTGACCCCTCACTGAGGTCATGCTGTGGTAGAAGACTTTCAGAGCACGAGCAAACTCTGCATCGCTGCTGTGACGCGCTAACCGAACGCGCCCCCCCTCTGCGCCTAAATCCACATGGGAGGAAGGTGCACGTGAGGCGCAAATCTGCTGAGACGAACTGAATTTTCAGCCTTATTAACCTGCTTGACCTCACACTGAGCTGCTAATGTTTCCTTTACCGTTCTTGGCTGAGTGTAGCTGTTCTCTCAGGCTGTGGTTTTCCTTCCTCAGTGAAGCGTTAACACTTTTTAGTTCATTTAAGTCCTGTTGAAGAGCTCTTACTGAGCAGCCCAGCTCCGAGTCCACTGGCTGGAACACACACACAATAACAGATTTACGTGTGTACAGTATTAGATGTTAGTTAGCCAAATGTCCTTTAATCAAATGGCACATTGATCTTTTTTTAATCTAAAATCTGGAATTTATCAGGATCTTCAAAAGGGAATTAAATAGTTTAAGTGTGGTTTGGTGTTCATGCCAAAAATTCTAAAAGCAAACTCACAGCAGCTTCTGGTGGATGTGAGTCATCGATGATGAAAACACCCTCTGCAGTCATCCTCATCACCTCCAGGGAAGCTCTAAGGTTAGTGCAGCCCTCTGAGGAAGAAAAGCTAAGCTTAATATTTTTTTCAAATGATCTGATCTGATATGTGCTCTAATGAATCTCATTCCTACAAGAGGCTAAAGTCTTTGCTGTGTAATTGAAGACTGTTCAGCCATTATCTTTCCATGACTTCAACCTCACCTTGAAGGCCCCACAGCTCCAGCACCACGGCGCTGCTCTGCAGGTAGTCCAGGAGACACTGGGAGGTGTGGAGGGACGCAAAGTGGACCCTGTGGTCCAACAGCGGGTTGACATTATGCCACACTGCGGGAGTGTAGAGGGGCTGGCTGCAGTCAAATACCCTGAAACTACCAGGAAGTGGAGACGAGGTAGTGTCAGAAGACAAATTCATTTTGAGAAATGATTGTGCTCTCAAAGTCCCTGAAGTTTGAAGCTGCGCGCTCCTCACCCGATCTGAAGGCCTCGATTGCGAGCCTCCCTGATCCAGCGAACCCCACAGCACTGATCCAGGACCAGCTGGAAGTCCATCCTGCGGCCCAGGGCCTCGGATGGGTCGATCAGGATCTCGTCCTCACCCAGGGGGCTGAAAAATGATGAAGCGTAGTTCGAGACAAAACTCTGTGTGTACAAAGGAGTGTGTGTGCATGTCTTACAGTCCTGTGGAGGTGCATGGAACCAGCTGTGCTTGTAAAATGGCCTCTTCTGTCCCCTCTGACCCCAGCACCTGTTAACACAGATGACCAGCCCGTCACTTTGTTCGCGTCACGTGAATATCCTGTCTGATCCACGTGTTTATGTCAGAGCGAGAGCACCTCTAGTTGCTCTTCCAGGGGGATGCGGAAGGCCAGAGACTGGAGCCACAGGTGAGCAGTGCCAAGGAGCAGAGGCTCCACTGGGTCCCAGAAAGGGTCTTTGTCTCTGGGCAAAGTAACAGCCGTCACCCCCTCTTCTCTCTGACGCGAATAAGCAAAGAGGAGTCACACGATAAAGTTACTGATATGTGATGACTAATCACTGATATGCAGCTCAGGAAAAACAAAGAGTAACATACGTTGTCTTGGCTCTGCTTGGCCAGGTACCGCTGGTAGACTTCCTCCATTAAAAACTTGCGATTGACAAACTTGGCCTTGGACCACATCCACACCTGAGAAGCATATTCAGAGCCCACAGTCATACCAGCAGCAGGAAAGCTCAGAGAAAGGCAGCGACCCACCTGCCTGCTCCCCGTAGACGTCACCCTCACAACAGTGTCTTTCTGCAGGTCGTGGCCCTTAGAGTCTGACAGCGCCAGATTCTTGATTTCGAGCTTAAACTCCACCCCCTGAAAGCAAAGTGGACACTGACCACAGTCACACGACGGCACAGAAACCAGACCTGCATCTTTGGTATTGGATTTGCACGCAGTGGAACTTTAAAATCAGTGACAGTGAACCTTGCCCAGTTCCTGACTCATCTGGTTGGCCTCTGCCACCATGGGCATGAGTTGGATGTAATCGTAGAAGACTGCGAGCAGGCTGGGGTCTGCGTGACACTGCCCGGCGCTGGACTCCCCTAACGGCCGACAGGTGGAAAAGCATCCAGTGGCTGTGCCTCCACATATCATATCATCATATCATCCTCTGCCTCACCCAGGCTGATGCCCTCCGCAGCGGCCAGCTCCGACTGGAAGTAGTCGTAATCGTAGCGGCTCCAGTCGTCCCCGCCCCTTTCGGATGGATAGCCAATGAACAGGTAGGTGCTGTTGGAGCCCAGAATCAGACGATCCTACAGGGAAAAGGGAAAAAAAAAACCTTGCTACCTATGAAACAGTTACACCGTATAACTGATGCAGGTGAAGACGGACCAGGTGCTGCAGCTCGGTAGTTTGTGAGACGGCGTTCCCGTTGATGATGACCTTTGACCCTGTCTGTGGAGTCAGTGTTACCCGGCGCCGCTCATTCCTGAACACAGCATGACGCTCCTGGATCCTGGAAACGTACAAGGGACCACAAACCAAAGCGCCACAAACTGAAGTGAAATCCTCCCTAATGTCCCTTCCTTTCTTCCTGCGGTTGAAAACACTCGTACCCTAGGCCTCTGATACAGATGGATCTAGGGGAGGAGTCGCAGAGCCCGATGTCCCACTCGCCTGAAACAATAAAAATGTGTAAAAACCCAATGCCAAACAAAGTGAGAGTGCTTGTCAGAGACGGCTGAGGAACTGGTTGAATCTTATCTGATTTATGCCCTCTTTCTACACCATCATAGACAAAGCTTATCTGAACATAAGTAAGTGTGAGACAGCTGCACACAGACCAACCCTCCTGGATGAAAAGCTTAACCACCCCTGACAGCTGAGCATCCTCGTTAATGTTCAGGATGTAGGGATGCATCTGCATCATCCTCCTTTCCTGACAGCGGAGGAAGAGACAGAAAGTTAAGGACGTAAAAAGAACACTTCTACGTTTTGTGCTGGTTTGATTCAAGCCAGCAGAGATTGAAAGAGTGTGTGAACCTGTGTGATGTTAGCATATTGCTGCTCCCAGTCCTTCAGAGCCTCCTGCAGGTGTTGCTCCCACAGAGTCTGGATGGCTCTGATCTGGAGCTCGTTGTGTGTGAGCAGCTGACGGAGCTCCTCTGAAAACACAAACACTGGCCTCTGAGAGCCCTCGCTGGCCTCGGCCTGCTGCATGCTGCTGTGTTTGGACTCCGCCTCTTACTGCTCTCATCCCCGGCCCGCCGGCCCTCCGGCCCCATCCGGTTCAGACGCTGCAGCAGTCTGGCGTTTTCAGCCTTCAGCTCTTTGATGAGGCGCTCGGTGGGGCTTTCGTTCACAACGGCCCGGTTCTGGATGCGTTTTGCCCTGATCCAGAGGTTTCCATAGACAGACGGGGGATGGATGTAAGAACAAAACAGAGGTCAAGAGAGAAACTGGATAACGTGTAAAAACAGTGACGGCTTAGGTAGAGCAGACGGAGGCAGTGTGGCTGGATATTGCTGGTTGTTACCTGAATCTAAAAACAAAGAGGGTTTTAGATTTTCTGTACCTCTCAGCATAGCGGAGGGTGGAGAGAGACTCCTCGTAGCAGATGTCAGCAGGGCTCAGGGTGGCAATCTTAAAAAAATCAGTACAAAAACCATACCACAAATCATACCAAAAACCTTTTCAACCTGTTCTGCCACGTGAACGTTGTGCACAATTAGTAGTGGTTGCCAAAGAGTGTTACCATGACAGTTCTGCTGTTGCCTCCCAAAGCGGACTGCAGCAGCTTGGTGAGAACCGAGTCTCTGTAAGGAATATGGACCACCTTCTTCCCCACCGCCATGTCAGCCAGAGCGCTGGGAGGGAGAAGAGCAATGTGGAAAATGGGAACAGGGAAAACGCAAAGCAATAACGCAAAGCAAGCGGGCCAACCTGATGACGTTGCCCAGCGTGGTGAGGCTGAGGTTGATGGCTGTGCCCTCTTTGAGTCTGTCCGCCTCTGAGCCTGAGGAGCGCTGGCGCTCGCTGCCAGCCAGGTCCACCAGGTAAATGTTGGACTGCTTTGTGATGCTCTCTTTAGACAAGATCTTAAGGGAAGATTCGTTGTTTGAAAAACAGAGACACACAGTAATGACTTCCTTTTTTCTCAAACTCAATCAAAATCCTTTGGCTTTTTTTTTGTTTACCCAATCAGGTCCAACCATTCACTGACTTGAGGTAATGAAGAAACTCTCCAAAACGTGTCATCTGACTGAGTTCCTACCTGTTTGAGCTGGAGGATGATGAGCATGTGTGAGCGGCTGCTGTTGGCGTTCATGTGTGTGGCAGCTGTGGTCCGAGTCCTGGTCCCCTGCTCCATCAGCTGCTCCACCTACACAAACAATTCACAAGCCCCACTTTGGTCTCACTGATTAATGAACGGTCTCAGTCTGTAAAAGAGCTCACGTTTGCCCCACAGATCAGAAAGTAAAGACTCCTCCTCACACTTTACTGGGCAAGCACCTGCCTTCAAATCTTAGAAAAAACCCTCAGGCCATTTAAACTTATTCACAGAGCTCCTGAAGAGCTATGGCCCTCGGTTGTTATTTATTACTTAATGCCTGATTTTATTTTATTACATCCCCAACAAGAATGTTAGAATTACTAACACAGTGAATGTTATTTGTCATGATAAAAGGCCAAAAAGAATTTGGTGGGTAATGGTCTCTAAAAGCAACTGGGCGAATCTGACAATCAACAACCCTTGTATGAGAACAAGTAGACTCCTAGAACCTTTTAATCACTAACCACCTGACATTTTCATTAGAGGATACTTTCTAATTTAGGAGTGTTTGATCTAATAAACATTCGCCAAATCTGTCTGTTGTGAATGGAAAAATTAACCTATAACAAAATATCAGAAGAATGCAGCAGAAGCTTCTGGTTTGTATTCTCCTGAATTGTCATTAACTATAGGCTTTAAATCCTCTGAGATCAAACATAAATTTTAAGTTAAATGGAGACAGTAAAAAGCTGACTCAGGAATACTTTTTAGACTTCTTTTCTGTCTCCACTTCAGAGGAATTAGTTCCTCAGGTCTTTTCTGTGTCACCTGTGGTGCACTCTCACAGGGGATTGTGCGGAGACCCTCCACATAGAAGCCTCTCTGCTGCTCCTCTCTGACCCGGAGCCCGCCTGGAGCTCGGGACCCCCGAGACAGCAGATCAACCACCTGTGTGGAGCGGAAAGATGCAGATCATTTATGGAAAGAAGTATAAGGAGTTAGATGTGACATCCAGAGTAACAGTGTTAAAATGAATGTAGCAAAATGTGAAAGATACATTTTACAAGAGGCAAAACTATCAACAGTAAAGAAATTTCCCAGTCCCATACTTACCTGCTCATTATAGATTTCCAACATACTGAAAAAGACCTGCAGACCGATCAAGAACAGAATCAAAATGTTTTCAGTAACCGAGCAAATATATTAAGTCAGACTGCCCTGATAGAATAGACTCAGTCTTAGTAGTTAAGTGCAACATACTTCAAAATCACTGCTTCTTGCATACACCTGTCTATTCTTGAAGAAATTCAAGAATTTCTGGGAGTCCAGTTATGTGTTGAGTTCTTTTACCTGACACTGGATGTTTTCTTGGTTGTCTCTGATTGCTTGGAACAGCCGGTCACAGAGTTTGGGAACCAGTCCTTTGTTGGGCCCATAGCCCATCATGGAGTAGCTCTTCCCTGATCCGGTCTGTCCGTACGCCAGCAATGTGGCGTTGTAACCCTGCAGGTGAGATTTCAGGTATTTTAATATTGCAATGAGCATGATATTATGTTACAGATTTGCCAGTGGAAGTCAAAGTGTTTTTCTACCTGCAGTGCATTGTCCAGTATTCCCTCTCCCAGGTCCTGAAACACCCTGTCCTGGAGAAGAGATGGTAGATCATGAGCTGCCAATGTGCACTGAAGCTTACAAAGACGTCTGTTTTATCAGGGCCGTTTGACAGGTGGTCATTACAAGTTGTCAGATGTCTGTTTTATAAAGCTGACCTGGTCAGCGTACCGTCCCCCTGGTTCCTCGGGCACATAAAGGCCGCCATGGTCTCTTGTGAATCCGCTGTGGGACCAGTAGGCGTAATCGAAACAGAATGACCGTCGACTCTGAGAGTCACGTGGATCCTGGATGCTGATGGAGGTTGACACCATGGAAATGATGCAGCAGCTGCCTGCATCCCTTTCCCTCTGTGAGTTACACCGGAGAATAAGACCTTGAAATTAAATTAACCTAATATCTGTATAATCACTTTTAAACAGGAGCCATCCTAATCAATTTTAAGTGTAAAACATTTAAGCGTAGTGAATAAGAGTACTTTCTCAGCCAAAACAGCCTTTTAGAATTGGAATGAAATTCCAATTAAAGATATTTGCATTCACTACTGACAAACAATCCATCTGGAACTAATCAAATCAAAATGAAAAATTCCAGTTGAAACGGGGGGGAAAAAATCTGCCAAACACCGACAGAAGAAAGTGGAGCAACACAGCCTTGAGTGGTCCAGGGACAAAAGGGATGGTGTCAAATTCAGTTACTGGGTTACAAGGCTTAACGACACAAACTAAATATAAATAAACTAAGCATAAACTAAAATAACATGAAAAGTCCAGCATATATTCATCCTTTATTACATACTTACCTAATATCTAGCCATATTTCACACAGTTTAGTGTCCACTGTGACGACACTATGGAAAACCGCTGCTGTTAAACCGATTAAAGACAGCCACACTGTCTGACTCACCTTTTGAAATGTAAGTAATATTTTTTCATCATGATGTCTCAACAGACTAATATTAGACATTGCTGTGGCTAAAATGCTATTTTAAAGTTAGAATCGCCATACTTTTTCCAGCTTATAGTCACTAAAGTCCTCTGGGGCAGCAGAGGAGGGAGCATCTGTCTTATTAGTAATCAACATCCGTTTGCTGCAGCAGTAGAACTCTTGCATAACCTGCACTTCTGCAAAAAAGTCATTTAAATATTTATGAGATTTTGGAGCACTATTTACTACTGTTGACATAGCAATGTCTTAGAGGCAGCCTTTTTCTTTCTTTTTAGCAACACAAATCCGAATCAATTCAGCACACAGTACAACAGCATGAATATTGTAAAAATATTAAATAAAATAATATATATCTTTAGTAATAAATGGACAGCACACTAACCTTATTGAATGGTCGCACTCTGATGGCCACTTTGACACAGTCCTTACTGTGCATGTCTGTAGCTTTAGCTCTCATGGTGCGGCTGCCTGGTTATCAGCACAGGACCTGAAAGGCTGAGTGACCAGCTCATTCATCCAGAATAACACAACACTGTGTTGAGTTACACAGCAACAAGTGCTCAAGGCCACACGTCAGGCATGGCGGTACACACTTCGGCCTGAAAATGAGGTAAAACTAATAAGATTGGTTTGGTTTGAGCCCTGAAATGTTACTGCAGTTTTAATCACAAAAGCTTCAATAAAATAAGAGAATGAAGCAGTAAGAGGAGGCTGGTTTCACTTTCAACTCCTCCAATATCGTCAATTATAGATGAGACACAGATCCCTCAACCATTCACGCAGCACATTAACACAGTTAGTTTCATGGTGGGAATGCTGAATCAGTATTCTCATAATTGTTTTCCTGTTTCTTTATTGTGAGAATAGTGAAAAGGGTATTTGTGAGAACACTTTGAAACTGAAACAATGGAAAATTAATTCACAACTGAAATTAAAAATGAAAAAAAGTTCCAAACTAATAAATAAAATGGAAAGTGATAAGTTTAAATAAGATAGTAAAAGCGTTTGGAAATAAACACATTTATTAATTTGGTAAACATTTACTAATTCATCCACCCATCCATTTTCATAACTGCTTATTCCCTGATGGGTCACAGGGACAGTAATTGTATATATAATTTCTAATTTTTTAGGTTCATTATATGATTTTTATTTAAGCTAGTTATGCTAATGCTGCACTCATCTGAGAACATCTCTTATGAACGACTAAAGTAGGCATCTTTTTGTTTGCCTGCACTGACGTCAACAAGACTTACTTTTAGAGGTGTTGTAAAATTCTAGATTTCAGCTAGTAGTCAATGTGTCTTTTAACTGAAAGAACTAAACTTGTTGGTAAATGAAAAGGATTTTAAACTGCATGGGTACGCAAGATGAAATGTTGTAAGAACGTTGCGTTTGTGACCTGCAGGAGGAGTCAGACCTGCTGGGACTCGGAGTCTTAGTGGACGAGCAGCGTCACCTGCTGAGACTTCTCAGAGCAGCTGGAACACAGCGTCTCCACACTTAAACAAGACGTAGAAAACCTGGACTCAAGGAGGACAGATATCTGCTCCGATACTCTACTTGTCAGCACTGCAGATGTTCTCAGAGGATACTGGACGGTGCAGATCTGAAGCTCTGATATGAAGCATCTCTCAGCATTTCCAGGTCGCTGTGAACCTATACAGGCCCAATCAATCTAAAGATTTGTTCTAAACAAACAAACAATACAAAGTCTACAAAAGGTTTATTAGACTGCATGAAAAAGATATTTTACAGTTCACACCTGCAAATAAATTAAGTCAAGTAAAAGTTTTAAAATTCACAATATTAAACGTTTGAAACATCGCTGACCATGTGACACATTTTCTACCAACTGCAGCTCACTCTGAGGTGGCATGAAAATGACTTTAATGAGCAAATGGAGCTCCTTTTTTCCTCGTGTCACTGTGGAGGATTCACTTTAACGATGACAGGCTTAAGTCCATAAGCACAATGTCCGATTGCTCCAAAGCAGAGTTCCTCTTTCATTTAGTTAAGTTTAATGCTGCCGCGTTCACTACAGCACAGAGTCCCATTTCGAGGTAAAAACACAGCAGTTAAGGTTTGTGAGCAGTCAAGACAAAGTACAGACAGTAACTGTAGGTCCAAAAAAAGACTGATGTGGGCTCACGTCCAGGAGGAGGCAGAAGGCAGATTAGTCATCTCATAGCTCTGAAAATCTATGTACAACATGAAGGCAGACATGCTGAAATGAGGCAACTGCTCACAACAAACTGCAAACTAAAAGTATACCAGGCTAGTCACAATTATTACAGAACTGTATATATCATGATCTGCATTACTGCACAAAGCAGCCACAATCATCTTCATTTTCTAGTAGAAATAAAGCTGGGTGAAACTAACAGACGTCGTATTTCCAAATACTTTCTGATAGTTTGTTTTTAAACCTTTAGATATTTTTGTTACATCGAATTGTTGATCATAATTTCCTAATTGTGACAAACCCAGTGAGAAAAACTGCAAGGAGGAGAAAGGCAAAAGTGACAGATAGAACTGAAGAGGTAGACTTGAAAACCAAATAAGCACCATCATTTTTGGCCATCTGATTGCATGTGCTGACCGTTTCTTTCCTCTAAAACGCACCCAGTAATGCGTATGCAGATACAGAGTATGCTGAGGACACAGGTGAGGTAGGTTAATAAGGTCTTTAGGGATTAAGAAGCTAACACCAACTGCAAAAAACACTTACAATATCCATTTGATCACTTTTTTGAAAAGCAGGAAAGAAGGTTCAGTTCATATAAAGCCCATCTTATTTTCTCTTTGTACAGTTTGAATGTCGAATGTCTGCACCTCTGAGTGTGAGAAGCAATGTTAGACCGGAGCACCGACAACGTACCGGAGCACACTGAAAGTCATTATGTGAGAAAAAAAAGAGCACTTCATCTGTCCAGGTCAGTCTCGTGTGTGCGATAATGTGACAGACGTTGTTAGTTTCCATTTTTAAAAACACTCCAGCCGAAACAATTAAGTCTGAGTGCAGTGATGAATACCTCCAGGAATGCCGGTCACCAAACTCGGAGACGCTCTCATTTTCTACAGGTAGCAGGAGGCCTTTTATAAACCGTTGTCTAAAACACAAGTAAACACAAACTAAACTGATATCTCCAGCTGCCATGTCTCTCTGAGCCGAATAGAAGCATCTGTTCGGGAGCGATTAAGACTGAACTGTGCATGTAAGCGGACAGGAGTTTCTTTTAGGATCATTTTAAACAGCTTCCTTTTTAAATGTGAAACAACCCCTGAATATTCTGGGTTTCCCATTTTTCTAGGTCCCTCCGAGAAGGCTGCAGGGGAAATTACAGTTCAAATATTTTGCAACTGATGTCTCTATTTTCTTTTCTATCCTTCTCACTGTTTCACATACGCACGCACATCAAAGCTTCGAGCAGCCGACAAATTTTCACAGTATAAAAATGTCACAAAGCCTAGGTCCACAACTTCACATTAGGCCCATATGTGTGGATAAGTGAAAAAGCCTGTTTAAGCTCAAAACAAAAGCAGTACTCGGCAGTGTTTACATATTTAACATTATTCATGTGGGTCCAGCAAGAGGACGGTTTGGATACAATCTTTGCAACGGATGCACCTCTGCAAATGAATCGCTTAGCATGCAGAGTCAGTGGGGGCTGCGCTGACCCGCCTTCTCGGCATTCTGTTTCTTTTTTTTTGCTCAGTGCAAGTTCAAGTTTTAGTTTTCCTAAACTTTCCCTGAAAAATGCCTCGAAGTGGGACTCACGGCACCGTGAGTCTGAGGAGGTACATGACTCTCTGTGGCTTTGAGCTCGGAGTCCAGCTCACAAAAGGTCTCATTCACAGACTGGACTGCTGTTATGGAGCCCCCACTTCTCAAAACCACCAGAAAAGACCCACCACGGCATTTCTTCGTGTGTTATCCATTCTCAGAAAATCAAACATGATGGTATGTTGTGTGTCTTCTGAGGTCAAATGATCAACTTTCTCATAACATAACTTTCTCCCGTGAATCTGGTGGCTCCCCTTAAGCACTAGTGCCATCCTTCTCAGCGGCCTGGCTCTCACTGTCTGTGGTTCCGTGGGTGATGAGTGTGAGAGGCTGCTCGGTTATGTCTCGCTGGCTGCTGTGTCTGGAGTGGCTGTCCATCTGATGCAAGCTGCTGTGATGGGAGAGTGGGTGGTCGAGATGGGGCATGCTGCCATGGAAACTGCGCTCCTTTTTGCCTCGGTTAGCCACAGAATCGCTCCTAGGAGAGGGGCATATGGAAATAAGTCAGAGAAGAAGCGACGGCGGTAGGGACCGACAGCGGTGGGATTTTCTGACCCACCTGTCGTCTCGTGTCCGGCTAAGGCTTCCGTGGTAGCTGGCCTTGCTGTGCACGCTGCTGGCCTTGCTCCTTGTGGATGTAGTGTGTCCGAGGTGTGTTCTGACCGGTTGTTCCAGGTCATCCAGAGTCGCCAAATGAGTGGAGGAAGCGTGAGTGGAAGTGCCCTACAGAAAGGATGACAACACAATTACAAGAAAAGTTCTAACTGTACAACATAAACAACACACACACATCTCTTTCTATACAGATCTGTAACACTTGATTTTAAATAAATATTTACTTGAATCTAAAATGGTGGAGCAGAGGTTTCTGCGGGACAGAATACAGTACTTAGGACATGCTTCATTTTTGAGAGAGCAGTGTATATCAGGACCAAGTAAGTGCTGTGACCCCTCAGTCCCACTGCTGTCCACATTCCTACCTGAGTGGATGTTCCCCTGGACTTCCTGATGACGGGGGTGTTGGGTTCCCGCAGTAAGGACTGGGTAAAGTCCGGTTGCTCCTGCAGCACCTGGCGGGACTCATTCACCCCACTGCTGCAGAGAACAGGAAGGGGGGCGTTTCAGGAAGGATGCAGTAAAAACATATCAGGAGCAGAAAGGAAAGAAGGAGATTTTCAAAGTGTATGCAAATAAAAATGGACATGTGATAGGAGGGGAAGCTAAAGATGTGGGAAAATTTTGATGAGTTGTTACTGAAGGGGCAAAGGTCATCCCTGAGTGAGAAAGAAGATTTATCTGAGGTTAGAAGGAGGGGTTTGATAAGAGCAGGGATGAGCTTGTCTACACATATATACACATATTCAGAGAAGGCTGACACTGGTACATTAGAATAAAGAGCTTCCATCCAAACAACATGCTCACAATAAGTCTCCTTACTCTTTGCGTCTGCGTCCATGCAGGAAGCTGGCCCATTCAAAGCAGGTCTTTTTACTTCCCACCCAGAAAACAGAGGGAATCCCAACTACCAACATCATCAAGTATTTAATCAGGAACAAAACCATGAGAGGCCTGCCAGTCTGCTCAACCTAGGAGAAACAGAAACATTTATCACACAGCAAATTAATGATCAAAAAAGACTTTAGTCAGAGCATAAAAGTTCAAATGTTGGA